CATCTGGGAAATGCTGTCTAAGAGTGTAGATGGGTTAATGCTCCCCCACTCTTTAACACGGGTAAGATGGTGCATTTTACAATTAAAAGTGGCTTTGAGGAACCAAGCTGGCAATGCTAATATATGCAGATGCTTTACCACATGCAAGCGGAAAAAGAAAGAAAAAAAAAAAAGGTTAGTGTGGCTGTATGTCTTTATTGAATGGTCTTATCCTGTCCAGGCTGCTATGACAAAACACCATACCCCGGGTGGCTTATAAACAACAGAGATTTGTTTCTTAAAGTTCTGGAGGTTGAAAGTCTGAGATCAGGTTCTCAGCACAGTGAGAGGTGCAGATGGCCAACTTCTTGTATCCTCACATGGCAGAGAGCGCTTAGGCTCTGCGTGTGCGTGCGTGCGTGTGTGTGTGTGTGTGTGTGTGTGTGTGTGTGTGTTATTGCAGATTGAACTCAGTGCCTTTGCTACATCCCTAGCCTTTAAAAAGTTTTGAGTCAGGGTCTTGCAAAATTCCCAAACAGCCCAGGCTGGGTTCTAATTTGTAATCCTCTTGCCTCAGCCTCCCAGGGTGCTAGAATTACAGGTGAACGTCACCACACCCTTTTTATAATTCCTACTGGCACTGAACACTCAAGATGTGGCTAATGTGACTCAGGAACTGCACTGTACATCTAATTAATTAATTAATTGATCGATTCTTTTTGAGGCAGGCTGTCACTTTGTGGCCCAGGCAGGTCTCAAATACATAAGCTCGAGTGACCTTCCTACCTCATCTTCCCAAGTAGCTGGGACTGCAGGCAGGCTTTAATTTATTTTTAATGAACTTATATTTAATTAGCTACATGTGCTTGGTGGCATCCATGCGAGCACAGCCATATTAAGGAGGCTCAGTACAGGTGCAGGATCAACACTTCTGGTAAGAGAGGCAAGACACAGCATGGACCGTGTGGTGCTTCTCACCAGGAGGCACCAGACAACTGGCCGACCTGCTTCCGGTTATGCCGCATTGATCCTCCCAGCCTGTGAGGTAATCCTGGGGCGGTGCTGGCTCCCTTGGAGCATCTGTTGCTTGGCAACCTCCCATCCAGTGGTCTCAGCGGCCACCGGTTATCACTGTCTGAATCAATCATTTCACTCGGGGTTGGGCTTTGTGATTTCTTTTTAAAGATCCTCTCTTAATGAAGAAGCCCCTGCCCCCCAGTCTCCCAAAGTGGTTGGATCCAAGATGAAGCCAGGATCTCATTTCTTTTGAAAAAAAGCCTTCAGAGGGGGAGCAAATTGATCAGTCTGTGTTTGGAGCACGGATGGTGTTTCGGCTGTGTGAAGCCCCTGGGACTCTGTGCAGTGCATGTGCGTGCATGCGTTGTGTGTGTGTGTGTGTGTGTGTGTGTGTGTGTGTGTGTATCCCACCCACCCCCCCATCCCTATGGGTCTCTGAGGGAATCTAATTCTCAGAGCAGGTGCTGCCCTCCTCAGAAACCAAGGCCCAAGCCCTGCTCATGGGAAATATTCTTTTTCTTTTTTTGATACCAGGGATCGAACTCAGGTCCTTGTGCTTGTGAGGCAGGCGGCTGCATCAGTGAGCTAAATCTCTGGCCCTGGAAATGTTAAAAAAAATTTTTTTGTGTGTGTGGTATCAAGGATTGAATCCAGGGCCTTTACACTGAGCTGCATTCTGAGCCCTTTTTATTTTTCATTTTGAGCCAGGGTCTTGCTGGTGCTGAAGTTGCCCATTCTGGTCTCCACCTTGGGATCCTCCTGTCCTCAGGCCCGATGAGCAGTGACCGCCGGGTCCCCACCCTTTGTCCCAGCTTTGTGTGGTGGGGAGCATGAGGGGAGAGCAGCTGGGCCCTAGTCTCCTCCTCTGGGAAAGGGAAGGGACGAGCTGGGGGGTAGGACTTCCTGCCTGGGGTCCTGGCTAAGTGGTTGTCCTAGCTGGGATGGAGTCAGAGACAGGCCAGAAAAGAAGGGAATTAGACATGGCCTCCTCCAGCTCACAGAAGTCTCGCTAAAGTGTGCCACGCTTGCTTTTGGCCTAGGACTCATCAATCCTAAGTTTACACCAGGGGGCCGAGGATGTGGCTCAGTGGTGCACACGCTGATCTGTGACTTTGATTGGCTGTTGCTGATGTCATAGGACTAGCTGGGCAGTGATTGGCAGATGAGAGCCCCAGGTCAGGTGGGAGAGACTCACGGGCTAGAGCCGCATCTGTGAGTCCATCCACTGGGGACGACCCCGACTCACAGACAGAGCGTCCTGTGGATGGCAGGGTGAGGGCTGGCTCACCAGTGCCACAGGTCTGAGGCTGTGCACATGGATGCCACCCTTGCTGCCAGTCCTGTGCCCTCTGCTGTTCAGCATGCCAGAGTTGCTCGGACCTGGCACATGGCCCTCACTCCCCCTTCCGCCCTGTGCTCAGTTTCCCTTCCTGTTCCCAGCGTCGGGCCCCGGGAATTTGATCCCAGGGCTGTTCCCAGATGGCAATGGCCCAATGACTCTTTCCCAAAGGTGGCACCGAGCTAGGCGGCCTCGCAGAGCAGCCTGCATTCAGGGGTGGACACAAAGCACAGCCCTCATGGGGGATGGAGTGTGGCTTCCTGGGGGTGTTTGGCCCAGGCTGGCCTTGGCCTTGGAGGGACAGACACACAGATCCGCCTTTGTCTGCAGCCCGGGCAGACCTCTTTAGTCCCTTGTCTAAGGGACTCAGGGTCGCTGCCGACAGGCACTGGCCCAGCTGGGTAGGGGTGGCTGCAGCAGCTTTTCCCGAGAAAGTCTGTGTCCCTGGGGTCTGCAGCCCCTAGGGGGACCGGACTGGCTGGGGAAGGCACCCGCAGAGCCAGCTCCCGGGCCAAGGCCATATCCCCTGCTCCTTCTTTCTTTCAAATTTGAGACATTTTCTCTAAATTACCAAGGCTGAGCTTCAACTTTTGATCTCCCTGCCTCAGCCTCCCAGAGTGCTGGGATTATAGGTGTGTACTACTGTGCTCAGACTGTTTTATTTATTTCTTTTAATCACTAAAGGGCTGGGATGTAGCTCAGTGATACAGCACTTGTGATCAGGCATGAGGCCCTAGGCTCCATCCTGCATGCCACAAAGAAAAAGAAAAAAGAAACAAAAATTGCTGTAGTAGCAAACCCTTCTTGCCTTCTGCTTTTCCAGGTCAGCGAACATTAGAGACCGTGCAGCTGTTGGGAGCCTCTGGGCCCACCCAGATTACCCATCAGCTGTCACCTGCTGGGGAGGGTCGGCTGGGTCCGCTTCCAACTCCTGACCCTGAGTCTGCCAGGAGTAGGGTGTTCCAGATGATGGATTAGTCACTTACCACCAGACATAACCTGTGGATCACTGCTCTGATCCATACAGGAAGGCAATGACTCCTGTCCCCAGGTTTGCCACTTAGGGGCTGACGCAGGCCCAGAAACACGCAGGTGCTTGCTGGGCTGCCACGAGGCAGCTATGGCTGCCAAGGAGAAGAGGCCTTGGCTTAGAGGTGGTTGAAGGCAGATCACATCACAGCCTAGATAGGTGTGAGAGTGGGAACCAATGAAGGCTTTTCAGAGGAAGGCCTTTTAACTTGGGCTCTGATAGGTACATAGGAGTTCTGCAGCCAGAGAAGAACAAGCTGAACGGTTAAGCAGAGGAGACCAAGCATGGAGGGCCCAGTGGCATGACGGTTGAGGTCATGCAGACAACTTTCCAGATGAGACAAAGGTAGGAACCTGGGTTACCCCTGGAGCACAGGGTCTTCCGGCCTCTGCAGAAGCTGCCTGGCATTTTTGCTCTGGACTTTGACACACTTGTGGTCTGGGTCCTCCAGGCTGTGCAGGGCTTGCCAAGCCTTGAGTGGTTTTTGTATTTGTTCATGTGTTTGTTTGGTTTTCTGAGATAGGGTCTCGCTATGTAGTTTAGGCTAATTTTGAACTCAGTAGCATAGGCTGGCCTTGAACTCATGGTGATCCTTCTGCCTCAGCCTCCTGAGCGCTGGCATGACTGTTGTGCCACACCAAGCCGGGCCAAGACCTGAGTCTTGATGTCAACCTCCCAAGGTGGGAGAGCTCTCAGTTGTGAAAAGGGCTCTGCTTCTTCCCTTCAGAGCCACAACCTGTCTCCCTCCTTGGAGTAGACAGTCAGGTAAATCATACTATGGTGTAAAAGACTGCTGGCAGTCTTTCCCATCAGAAACACAGATAGGGCGGAAGTGGGAGTCATGGAAACACTTAATGTCCTCAGTGTTTGCTCCCACCATGCCCAGACCCATCTGGATTCCTGACGTTGGCCCTCCCTACAGCCTGGTCAGCCCACAGAAGCGGTGTGTGGAGCCTCCTTGTTGCCCTGCTGGGGTCTTGGGAACTGTGACACCATGGTCCCTGCTCTCTGGGCTGTTCCTCCAGCCCGCTGGTCCTCAGCCTCCACTGCACATTAGGATCTCCTGGGAAATTCTGAGAAACCACTGGATTTCCCAAGGCTGCAGACTGTTTCTGCTGGGTGTGTCCCAGGAGCAGGAATTTTTTACAATCCCAGAGGTGATTTGTGGGGCTGCACACTCGCTCTGGCCAGCATCCCCAACCCTCTGGGGCTGACATCACTTTCCCAAGGTAACCTCGAATTCTGATGTGTAGGAAATTCTGTGTGCATCATGTTCTGCGGACCTAGATTTGCCGGAAGTTAGTGTTTCCCAGTGAACCTTGCGGCCCTTGTCCCTCTTTCTCTGCAGACATCTTGATGCTTCATCCTTAAACACATGGGCATAGCTCCTCCTCCCAGCTGCTTTCTTCCTCCTCTGGCTCAGGGCTGCAATCTAACAGGCAGCCTGTTACTCTCTTCCCTGGGGGCCCCAAAAGGATTCTAAAGAAAATATCATTTTGAATCCTGCTGCTTTGCCACAAATGTGTGTTTCCTTTCCTGTGTGACCTTTTGTGTCTGGTTTCTGGTTTCTTTCCCTGAGCATAGTGGGACTTTTTTTTTTTTTTTTTTTTTTTTTTTTTTTTTTTTTTTTTTTTTTTTTTTTTTTTTTTGGTTTGATTGTGGTGCTGGGGATTGAAGCTGAGCACCTGTTCTGCAGCTGAGCTACACTCCTGTCCAGGCCCAGGCTTCTTGAGGTGCATCCTAGCTGTAACGTGTGTGTACCTCGTTCTTGTTCAAGGCAGAATAATATTTCACTGTGTGGATTGCATGGAGAGACATCTGTCATCTATCCATTCATCTGTTTCTTAAGGTTTTTTTTTTTTTTTTAAGATGGGGTCTTGCTTTGCTGCCCAAGCGGGTCCTGCATTCCTTTACTCAAGCCATCCTCCTGCCTCATCCTCCTGCGTCACTGGGAATGCAGGTATGCGCCGCTGCACCTGGCGCCCAGCTGACTCTTAAAGTGTGGCTGAGACTGGGGACCAATGTGCTCCCCGTCCTGGCCTCACCCCCACTTGGAACAACTCTCGCCACGTGCTCCTCAAGGACCTTGGGGCCCTGAGTGGGACCCCTGTGAGAAGCAACCAGATGGGCTTGCTTACTGGTGCCTGGTGAGGCTGAGGCGGGAGGATTGAAAGTTCCAGCCCAACCTGGGCAATAGTGAGACCCTGTCTCAAAAGAAAACATACAAAAGGGCTGGGGCTGGGGCTCAGGGGTAGTGACCCCTCACATCGATCCCTAGTACCACCACCTGCAAAAAAGAGGGAGGCTCTAGTGGTGGAAGGAGAGTTCCTGGAGCCCTGGCGCTGGCACCATGTGAGCCCCGGCTGGGTTCTCTCCTGGGACCCGTGGGTGGGGAGTTGACCCTTTCGCGCACAACAGGAAGCTGCAGCCCAGGGCCATTCAGGTGATTCCAGCAGTTGGCACAGAAGCCAAGTGGCAGGCGAAGGTGTGCCAGCCCCTGTGCCAGCTGCAGAGCCCAAGCCCCTCCAGCACGGGGACTCGGCATTCTGGGCTCATTGGGCACCAGCATCTGGCTCCGGATCCTGGCTCCAAGTGGCCACGGACGTACCATCCTCCAAACTACAAGGGCTGGTCTTAAACTAGGGGCTGTGTGGCCCCATTTCCTCTTCAATTTAACCAACAAGGGTGCAGGCTCTTTCAAGAGAGTTGTGCAGTTATGGGGTCGCCTCTCTCACTGGCCACTATATTCTGCACTCACCTTGATTTGACACCTACAGTGCCGTCTATTTAAAACCAAGCTCAGGTCCCTGCCCTGGGGACTGAGGAGCTGGGACACATCCTACAATGGAGTACTACTCAGCCCAGAAGAGGAAGGGGCCAGACTATGACCCCGCAGCTGAGCATGCTTGAGATCTCAAGTTCCGTCCCCAGCACCAAAACAAGTAAGTTAAAGAAATTGAAGAATTAAAAATAAATGAGAAAGAAAAGAACATGCAACAACACAGACAAACTGCAACTGCTTTATGCTCATGAGGAAACCAAGGTGAAAAGGCTGCATAGGGGAATTGGGATGGGAGAGTTGGGAACGATCATCAGGAAAGGTCTGTTTGGTTTTTGTATAAACAAGTCTGTCTCAGAAACCTCTGATGTTTTGTTTTTTGTGGGACTGGGCCTACCCTTGAGTTACAGCTGGGGTCCCTTTCAAAAATTTTTATTGTGACACAATAAATCTTGCTAAATAAATAAATAAATCTTGCTAAATCACTAAGTTGCTCAAGATGGGGTCAAAGTAGTGATCCTCCTGCCTCAGCCTCCCACAGCCCTGGGATTTCAGGTGTGAATTACAATGCATGGCTTACAAATATTTTATTAATACATCTTAACAGAAAATAAGTTGCTTGGGATTCAACTTCCATTTCACCTAAGAACAAAGTTTAACTCACATAATAAATTCTACTGAAATATCATTTTCAAAGCTGTGACTATGGTCTGGCTCCATTTATCTGGAATTCTGGAAAAGGCAAAGCTGTAGGAAAAAAAGAACAGTGTTCTGGGGGGCTGGATCTTGGGGCTCTTGGGGAGCTGCTGGGTCTGTTGTTTATCTTGATTGTGCTGGTAGTTCCAGGATTAATTACATTCACTGAAGCCTGTAAAACTGTAGAGCAAAACAGGAAACTGTGCGCTCTGGGAGGCTGAGGCAGGAGGATTCCAAGTTTGAGCCCAGCCTGGGCTACTTAGCAATTTAGCAACATGCTGTCTCAAAATAAAAGCTATAAAAGGACTGGGGATGTAGCTTAGTGTGAAGGCCCTGGGTTCAGTCTCTATCAGAAGCAGAAAAAGGGGTGGGGAGTTCTACTCCACGCCAATTCAAATGTAATTTAAAAAATGAGTGCACCGCCTTTTTAAAACTCCCGTCTAGAGGCGTGTGAAGAAAGAGCCGGTCCCCAGTGGGTTAAAGGAACAGTTCTTGGGTGTTCGGTGTGGTGGGAACCATTTCTTGGGCCTGCGCCCAGCCCCCCTGGCCTCATGTCCAGGCCCCTCTTTTTTCCTCCCTCAATAGCTGCAGTGCCTGAGACAAGGGGAGTCTTGTGGAGCCCAGAAATAAATAAATAACTGTGCCCAGGTCACCACGGCAACCATGACATCACCCTGGGGCTGGGAGGCCAGGGTTAGAGAAAGGTTTCTGGGGCTGCCTGATGAGGAGTGGATGAGGATCTCACCACTGGCAACCTGTGTGCCCGCCATCTCCTCTCTGTGGCCGGGTGTCTGCCTTCTCCCTGTGTCACTCTCATCTGCGTCCCTCTCTCTGCTCAGAAGGACCCTCGTCATATGGCGTCAGGGGCCCACCATCCTCCAGCGTGACCTTGTCCACCTTTGTCACATCTGTAGGTACCATCCTGGTCCTGAGTGAAGCCCTGCAGCATGTTTTTTGGTTCTGGGGATCGAACTCGGGACCTTGTGCTTGAGAGGAAGATGGTGACACCACTGAGCTAAATCCCCAGCCCTGTTGCTATTTGTTAAGAAGCCAATGGCCAGTTGTTCTGGGCCCCTGGGGAGGCTCTGCTTCAGGGTCCCTTTCCTTCGGGACCAGGAACCCAGCTTTAACCCAACCCTGCACCGCATTGGGCCGTGGGAGGCAGAACCAGGGGGTCTTGAAGTTCTCACCTGTCTGCTGGACTCACCAGGATACTGGCTTTGGTCACATGACCCAAGTCACATGACCAACATGGCCAGGGAGCATTGCAGGTGGGTGGGGAAGCTGACCTGGACTCCTGGCCTCACCAGTGCCAGGGATCAGAACAGGAAAGCCAGACCCCAGGGCCTGGGTGAGTCTGAGAGTGGGAGCCTGCAGGACCCCTGTTGCCTCTCCCTGATGCCCACACTGGGCATCCCTGGGGCTGCACAGGCGGTGCCTATGGTGCTTTGTGAACTGTACCAGCACGGAGCCAGCACATTGGTGCCAGAAGTACCCGTGAACATCACTAGCACGACAGCTGCACACAGAAGGTGCTCAGTAAAGGCACGGTGGCTATGTTCAGAACCACACACTCATTTCCTGCACTGGGCATCTCACAAAAGGGTTTAGTGTGGCAGGTTGGCCTCTAGTGCCCTCTGGTGGAAAATACCAGGCAACGCCCCAGGGGAACCTGCCTCCTACAGGATCGGATCCTGGCCTTTGTAAAAAAGCTTCTTCTTCTTCTTCTTCTTCTTCTTCTTCTTCTTCTTCTTCTTCTTCTTCTTCTTCTTCTTCTTCTTCTTCTTCATTATTATTATTGTTATTAATTTTTTATTATTACTTCTGCTGCTTCTGTTGTTGTTTTGTTGTTGCTGTTCCAGGCTGGCCTCTTCATGCCTCAGCCTCCCAAGTGCTGGGATTACAGGGGTGTGCCACCATGCCTGGCCAAGGATCCTGAACTTCTGCATTTCTAAAATGAGTGATAGCACTCAAAGTCCTCCGAAAAGGATTAGGCAGAGGTGATCACTCTCTGAAGTTTCCAAAGATATCACACTTCAGGACTGTTTATTTTAAAGATAAAGTCACCTTGCAATTGCATGTGTAGGTCTGAGCTCAAGAGAAACGAGTGCATATGTTCATCAAAAAAAAGGACACAAAAGTCTTCATGGATAGAGCCATCCTTAGTCAACCTAAAGTACAAAGCCACTTGCAGCAGCCTGAGCAAACCCTGTGTGGTCTGGTCACACTGAGGATTATTATGTAGTCATGAAAAATCCCAGCCACTATGTCCAATAACAAACAGAGAAATCTGCAAAAATCACCTTAAAAGAAGCAGCCAGAAACAAGAGGGTGTGTGCTGTGGATCTGTGGATGACAAGTTCCAGAGCACCGAGAACTGATTTTCAGTGATGATGTCAGGGGGTGGTTTCTCTGGGGAGAGTTTCCTTCCCCCAGGAGGGACACAGGGAAAGTCTTGGAGGCAAGAAATGAGCTAAGTACTTCAGGGTGGTGTTGTGTGTGTGTGAATTCATCAGCCCTTACCCTTGGGGAGTCAAATTGTATATTACACTTCAATAATATTTAAAAAGCCCATTGTGGTGGTGCACACCTGTAATCCCAGCATTCTGGGAGGCTGAGGCAGGAGGATTGAAAGTTTGATCCCAGCCCGGGCAACTTAGCTACTTAGTGAGACCCTGTCTCAAAATTTAAAAAGAGAAAAGGGCTAGGAATATAGCTCAGTATGAAGGCCCTGAGTTTAATTCCCAGTATTGCAAATAAATAAAATTTAAAAATAGAGAAAAAGAGAGAACGCTGGGCCCCAGACACAGTTTCCGAGTAATAATATTTCCACTTCCGATTTCCATTTTTGCTGTGTATCTCGGGTCCTAAGCGTGTGTGTGTGTGTGTGTGTGTGTGTGTGTGTGTGTGTGTGTGTGGTGTTTTGAGGGGATGGAGCCCACTGGAAGTGAGGAGCAGCTGCGCGCGATGAGCGAAGTTTTGCCATACACAGGCATCAGGGGTGCAGAGGAGGGTAGGAAGGGGGCAGTGCTGGGAGGAGGAGCCTGGAGAGCCCCTGCGGCCCCTGCCCCACGTCTCCCAGCTGAGCTCCCGGTTCTGCCCTCTTTCCAGGTTCATGAACCACCGTGTTCCCGCCCACAAGCGGTACCAGCCCACGGAGTACGAGCACGCCGCCAACTGTGCCACCCACGCTGTGAGTTGGGGCTGGGGGCTCAGAAGGCCGGGGGGGAGCATTCCAGGTAGGGAAGGAAAGGTGGCCTCCTGGACCAGTTCTACCTTCACGATCTCCTCGGGGCTGTCCCTCAGGCCTCCTGCAGCCCCCAACGGCCGAGTGGGGGCTCGGTGAGAAGGCCACCGGTGGACACTGGGGAATTGGAGCTGAGCGTTCCTCTCTTGCTCTAGAAACTTCAGTGGCTCCCTAGTGTCCGGTACAGTGTCTTGTCACTGCAACATGCACCCAGGCAGGTCTGACCTCTGTGTCCTGCTCCTGCTGCCACCACGCTCTGCCCCAGTTCGTGTCCCCCCACAACCGGTTGCCCACTCTGTTTCTTTTGCAAGTGCTGTGCCCACAGCCGGAACATTTCTCTCTCCACCCCAGCCTTGCGGGTGAAGCCTTTTTTGTCCTGTGGCCTTGGTGAGATGCTCCCCAGAAGCCTTCCCACCTGCCCAGATGCAGGGAAGCCCTGAGCCTATGGCCCCTCAGTACACCTAGTCAGGCAGCAAACCTTTCCCTGTGCCCTTGAGGCACCAGGCCTGCTCCCTGCCCTGGCAATGCAGGTGTGAGTTTAATCTGAATCCCTGCTGGAAGCGACTCATATCTCAGGATGCCAGGAGCCTGCTCTTCTCCCTGGGCTGTGATGTGTTTGGCTGAGCCCAGGATTCCTGTGCCACCCCCTTCCTCCCTTTCTTTTTATAGCACCTCAGACTGAACCCAGGTTCTTCTTACTGAGCTACAGGGCTGGGACTTTTTATTTTTATTTAGAGACAGGGTCTGGGTAAGTTGCTCAGGCTGGGTTTGAACCTTGTGATCCTCCTGCCTCACCTCCCAGAGTTTTGGGATCACAGGCGCACACATTCTCATCCCCCCCGCTTGCAGCAGGCGCTCTACAGTGCTACCCCCCTAATTACCTGAGGGGTGATCATGGGGTTCTCAGTTGCCTGCGGGGGGGGGCGACCAAGTCATAGGCTGAGGCTCCTCGCAGCTACCCAGAGAGCTGCTGTTCCTGGATCCCAACTCTTGTCACTATGCAGCTGTCGGCCTCGGTTTCCTCATTCTGCACACCGGGCTTGTGCCACGCCTCGGGGCTATGTGAGTGTGGCTCGAGGCATCTGTGTGGCACCATGCGGGCTCCCTCCCCAAGGTCATGCTCAGGTCCCGGCTCTCTGCTGTTTCAGCCAGGTGGGGGCCTGTGCTCTCGGGCTTGTGGGAGGAAGGGAAGACATGGGAAGGAAAGAGGACCGGGGAGGAAGTCCAGGGAATGACGCTCGGTGACCCCAGAGCCACACAGACCAGCAAAGAGCAGCAAAGAGCCAAGACCCACAGGGTGAGCAAGCCCGACACGGGCGCTGGGCCTCTTTTAAGGTGACACGGTCAGGGCCAGGGCCGGGGATTTAGCTCAGCGGTTCGCTGCCTGCTTTGCAAGTGTAAGGTCCTGAGTTTGAGCCTTGGTAGCAAAAAAATAAAAAAATAAAAAAGTGATACAATCAGACATAGAGAAGTCATTTTCAATCGTCTGTACTTCTGTCCCTAAGCCAGGTGTGGTGTTGCACACTTACAATCACAGCACTCTGCGAGGCTGAGGCAGGGTGACCAAAAATCGGAGTCCAGCTTCGGCAACTTAGCAAGATGTTGGCTCAAAATAAAAAATACAAAGAAGGCTAGGATGTAGCTCAGGGTGAAGGTCCTAGTACCGCCCCCCCCCGGCCCAATAAAACCAATCTGTCCCCTTCCCTTCTGGCTGTGGAATGTCAGTCTGTCCCGAGCAGCAGGCATGCGCCCGGCTGAGCCTTTGGTTTGGGAGCTGCCTGCCCCTGCCCCCCGGCCCTGGGCCTCTGGGTACCACGGAGGCTGGGACCGCCCCCCAGCCCTGTGCTTCCCTGTGGACATTTTCCAGTGGATCCCCAAAGAAGGTACACATTGTCGGGGCTGGATTCTCCATGCATGTGCTTCTCCCCATATTTAGCTACCCATTTCCTCCCTCTCCCTCCTGCCTCCCTCCTGCCCCCCTTCCTTGTCAAGGGCTGACAAGAGGAGATTCTGCAGGAGTGACAACGGTCAGTGGGGAGAGAGGCAGGGGACAGGGGCGCCAGGCTGAGCCATCACCACAGTGGGTGTCACTGTTTAAACTCTTTACTAGCAGGGAGGCGCCAGCGCTGGCACGGTTCTGGGCTGAGCGCTGCCACTGGGGACTCTAGGGCGGTGAGGCGTGGACAGTAGTGACTGCCTGGCTCTCCAGGCTCCTCTGTGTGGGGCTCGGGTGCTGGCTTTGACCTGGGCTGTGCTCCCCGCACCCCGAAGGGTCCAAGCAGCATCCAGACCTTGGCTCTCCAGGCTTGTCGTGCAGGCCCCATTTGGCTACTGGAATTTAGATAAAATAGTTTCATACAAATAAAGTAAAATGAGTCCATTCTTCTGTGGAGCTGGCTGCCTTCCTGTGCCCCGTGCCCACCTGTGGCTACGGAGTGGGCCCCTGTGGTCTGGGAGAAAGTGGGATACGGGTTGCTTGTCTCTGCATGCGACGGCCCTGCAGCTGTCCTCTCCCACAGTTCTGGATCATCCCCAGCATCCTTGGCAGCTCCAACCTCTACTTCCTGTCCGATGACGACTGGGAGACCATTTCCGCCTGGATCTATGGCCTGGGCCTCTGTGGCCTCTTCGTGGTGTCCACTGTGTTCCACACTGTCTCCTGGAAGAAGAGCCACCTCAGGTATGTCCCACTGGGAGTCTGCAGTACGTGTGCCTGAGCCCAGCCGGGCAGGGCCGACTCCTGGGGTGTCTTGATAGAGCCTCACCGTTTGCTTCAGTCCCAGAGGATAGAAGCGCCTGTAGGGCCCCACTGTGGCTCCCTACTGGGCCCTCCTGGACCCCAGCGCTGTGTCGATGCCCTTCCTCAATCTTTTCAATAATCCCGCAGTGCAGGCAGCAGAATCCCTGCTTTTTAAAATCTTGATTTGTTTTGCTTTTGCTTTTTAAAATTGTAAAACAATTGGAAGTGCAGCCCATAGTTAGCCACCTTAGCCCTTCTGCAGTGCAGGGGCACCAAGCACATTCACAGCATCACATGGCCATCCTGTCACAGTCACCGCTGTGCACACCGGGGCCCTAACTCCAGTTCGCCCTGCCCTAGCCGCACCTCCCACCACTTTCTCTGGGAACTTGGTGGCACGGTAGCCTCCTGTCAGTGGAACTGCCCAGTATTGGCCCCTTGGCAATGGCTTGTTTCACCCTCCGGGTGCCTGTGTAGCTGCAGAACCCGGCCTCACAGATGCTGACGCTACCCTGAAGAGGTGACCTTGCTGAAGGTCACAAGCAGCCATGTCCAACCCAGAGCTGGCTGCAGGATCCAGGGCCCCACAGAGTGTGTTCCACTCTCTCCCTGTCCCCATGGGTCCCCTACCTTTTGGGTCGTTCTGGAGCCCTCCCAGTCCTGGGGGCAGAAGTCTGGCAGCAGAGCTGTGCACAGGGCCATGGTCCCCCCTCGAGCAGGGCACTGTGATGCCGGTCACGTGCGTGGAGGCCACAGCTCGCTGTGAGATGAGGCCGTGGAGGAGTGGCTGACGTTTATTGAACACCTCCTGCATATGCACTGAGCACTGATTCGCGTAGCCCTCGGCAAGCCGGTGGCCAGGCCACGGACTTACTCTGAAGTCCACTCTTCAGAGAGGCGGAAACAGCTGGGAGTGAGTCAGTGAGTGTCCCTGGCATCTCCGAGGGGCAGTCAGAAGCCAGCAGGGTTCCGGGGTGCAGTTTCAGTCTGTGCACATTTTAAACGCAGGGCTCTTTTCCATCTGTAATCCCGTGGAAAGCCCAGACTAACAAAGTGAATCAGAGCTGCTCTCACTAAAGCCAGGGGCAGGGAAGCCCCTTAGTAAGCCCCTTAGTAAGCCCCTCAGGTAAGCGGTCACCTCAGTGGGACGCCAAGGCCTCACCACATGGCCCCCGAATGTCGAGGAGCCTGGCTTGATTCCCACTGCTCTGGTCACTAAGCCCAGGCCTTCTCTAGTGGGGAAGGCACTGCCATCCCCAGCTTGGGTGCAGGTCGCCCCCTCCCTTTCCTGCCGCCTGGGCGCCGTGACCCCCTGTCCCTCCTCCTAGGATGGTGGAGCACTGCTTGCACATGGTGGACCGCATGGTCATCTACTTCTTCATCGCAGCCTCCTACGCGCCCTGGTGAGTCCCACCGCGGCCATCCGCCAGCCTGGTCATTGGGTTTCTCCTCAGGGGGGATTAGGGGATAAGGGAGAGTCTCGCCCCCGCACCCCATTTCCCTGCCAGAAAGTAACTACCCTACCAGTTTCTTGGGTATCCTTCTAGATGTATTTTATGTACAAAAGGAAATATGTATGTATATATGTCAGTTAGGGCTCACCAGAGGACCAGATTTAACATAAAATACGTAGGATGTATAAAGGATTTACAAGGTAGTCCACACTAGCCGCCCGCAGAGTTGGGGTGAAGAGTATAAAGGGCTGGAAAGACCCCCAGAGAGCTGGGGGTCCACCTGAGAGTCCAGCACCTGGACTGGAGCTCACTGCAGAGTCTGGTCTTGAACTCACCGTGTAGCCCAGGCTGGCCTCAAACTTCTCATCCTTCTGCCTCAGCCTCCTGCATGCTGAGATTACAGGCATCGCCACCGTGCTTCTCTTAAGGCGGATATTTGGTGTTGTGTGGTTACAGGAATGCTGAAAGGCTGTGTGTGGCATGGCAGAGAAAGAATACTCTGTATTCAATGCTATAGCCTCACATTCTGGTCCTGCGTCAGCCTCCTGGGGGCTGTGTGCCTTTCACTGAATTGCTATCTCTGAGCCTGTTTCCTGACCTGTAAAGTGGAGATAATGATAACCCACTCTCCTTTCCCAGAGCAGAACTGAGGAGATGTGAGATGAGTATACTGTCCAACCCAGATGTGGTGGTGCACTCCCGTAATCCCAGCGCTCTGGGAGGCTGAGGCAGGAGGATGCAAAGTTCAAGCCCCGCCTGGGCAAGTTGGTGAGACTTTGTCTCAGAATGAAAAGCAGAAAAGGGCAGATGTAGCTCTGGGTTCAGTCCCCAGTTTGCTTTTGTTTTTTAAAGGCCCACTGTCCAGCACATGCATAGGAGTGACCGAGCAGAGTGGAAGGAAAAAAAGCGGTGAAGTCAAAGTGGACAGAATATTCCTTCCCCCACGTTGAAGAAAACAAATACAGTTATAACTATCTGGAACAGCAAAAGATAAGTCAGTGTTCTCCTGTAGATACAGCCCAGTGCTGTGAAGTTCTGGGCAGAGTGGCAGCGGAGGGTCTCCCTGTGGAAGGCATCCTCCTCTCCTCTCTGCAGACCTAGAGGACCCTGGAGAAGGCTTCTTGGGAAAATGACATGGTATAGGCAGGGGATGGCTTCAGGGGCCCAGGCTGAGTTTCATAGCCGGGGCGGCATTGGATTATGTCAATTTTGCTGATTTTCAGAATTTTCTTTCTTGGCTGGTTCCAAGTGGGAAGTGAGATAGCGCCCTCTGCTGTACCATACCGAGGCTCTTCACACAGTCCCGAGAGCGTGGAAGAGAGACAGCGCCATCTGGTGGGCAGCCGTCGCTCACACCATTGTCCCTAATTGTTGCTTGACCTGAGGTTTCTTCCTCTAGCTTTTTTGGGTGTTGGGACAAAAACGTGCTCGTTCTGGTCTCCGAGCTTCTGGTGGTTACCTACATCCTCCTCTTTTGCCATTGTGGGTGGAGGTGGTGACAGTCAGGTGCATACTCTGTTTGTCTCTGCCTGTCGTCGACTTCCTACTCCAGCTTTTCTTAACTTCTGGGTCTGAAGAGCTACAAGAACTTTATGTCCGTGAGTGAAAAGTGAGTACAGTTAAACAAAAGTATGAATTCGAGGTGATAAACAACCTAGGGAAATGAGGATAGTGCCGGAGATGTAGCTCCGCAGCACTGTGCCTGGCAGGCATAAGGTCCTGTGTTTGATTCCCGGCACACGCACACACACAGACACACACACACAGACACACACACACACACACACACAAAATTGATAATGAAAAAGGAGATGAAGGTGGTGATACACACATAAAGGGACCAACTGAAGAACAAAGACACATTGTGATGGAATGAATAAAATCAACTCAGCAACAGTATGAAACGAGAGTCAAATGCCAATGCAGATGGGGCTAGGGATTTAGCTCAGTGGCACCGCTCCTGCCTCGAGTTTGATTCCCGGTACTGGTGGGGGGGTGCTGATGCAGAGAGAACCTCTGAGATTAGCAGAGAGAAGATACATATGTTTAGCCAAAATGTAAAGCAATCAGAGAGAAACAAATACAAATGAGAGACCAGAGCCACACTCTTTGGGCATGATGACGGAAAAAAACTACCTTACAAAGGGAAAAAGTTAGGCTGGACCCTGAATGTAACCACAACCCTATTTCATGCTGGAATACAATGGGAGCATATCTATAATGTTCCAAAGGTAGACCTCAGGATAAGCTTTCTAGTGAGGTTGTCACACAAACCTGAAACCGTAGGAAACCATTGTCACACATGAAGAAGTCAGGGAATACCACACTTTTTTTTTTTTTTTTTTTTTGGTACCAGGGATTGAACTTGGGTCCTTGCGCTTACAAGGCAGGACACTGAACCGCTGAACTAAATTCCCAGCCCTAGGGAATACCACACGTTTGAGAAGCCATCACCATCACCACCACCACGAACTGTCTCTTTTCAGACAAAACTACTTGGGAAAGGGCTACATCTTTTTTGTGTGTTTTCACTTCTTTCTTCCTGTGTACAAATAATATAGAAGTCATGCTATTTTTAATTCACGCACCTCTCCCCTAACACCTACCAGTGTGTCCTGGAGATTTATCCATGTTGGTTCAAACAGGTTGTCCTCATATTTTTCAAATCTCTCTGAGTCAGAATGGTGTAGTAGGCAGGGTGTGGTCAGAAGGCAGAAATCACAAAATGAATTGAGCAGGAAAACCTAATATCAAGAATTTGGGCTGGGCATGGTGGCGCACGCCTATAATCCCAGCACTCGGGAGCCTGAGGCAGGAGGATCGCTGTGAGTTCAAGACCAGCCTGGACTACACAGTAAGTTCCAGGTCAGTCTCAAAAGCATAGTGAGCCTGTGTCTCAAAAAAAAATAAAAAAAAAAAAAAAAAAAAAAAAGAATTTTGGGGGTGTTGGGGATGGAACCCAGGGCCTCATGCATGCTAACCACAAGCTACACCCTCAGCCCCAATATCAAAGGTTGAAGTGGTGGGGACTAAGGAGAACTAAAGACAACTGTAGAGAAAGCAGCAGCCGCAGCAGCAGCGCCCGTCCTGCCCAGGGCTGAGACCCCGTTTTGTCTGAGGCACAGCTCCCCACGCAGGCTGGCGCAGGGTTGCTGAGCCTTAGCATTTGCTCCATATTTAGGGGAGCTGGGGCACCAGCCCTGGGAGTGGCCCCTCCAGGCGGGACCTGGAGTATCTGTTCCTGCATTCAGTTTGCAGGACTCGCATGTGGGCCTGAGGAGGAGCTGCAGGAGCGGCTATCCAGGCTGTGGCGCAAGCCTGCTGGTACCAAAATCCGCAGCTCCAGCGACACTCGCTGAGGCCAAATGCTGCAGAAAGCTTCGCCCTGCAGGCCCCCAGCCTGCACTCAAGTGGGGCACTCAGGGGCCTGGCTGGAGAATTCGGGAAACTGGGAGGAAGTTTTTCCTCTTTAAGCCTCTCTAGCGCCACCTACCACCAATTGCATTTGCTGGAAGAAAGACTACGTGTTGCAAGGCCAACTGGGCAGCTCTGGTCTGGAAGGCGAAAGATTGATAAGCAGCACAGACAAATACCATGGGGTGTGTGTGTGTGTGTGTGTGTGTGTGTGTGTGTGTGTGTGTGTTATTTTAAAGACGGATACGATGTTTATTTTGCCCTCCCCACTTGGTAGCCAAGAGATTTGAGTCTTTTCCAAGTCTGATTTCTTGTGTCTCTCTGGCCCACCGCTGTCCCTGGAGCTCTGCGAACGCGCATTTTGAAATGTTTCACGGTTTGGCGGGTCTACCGCCACTTGCCTTCCAAACAGGCTTTACTCATTTATATCCCCACTCGTTTGAATTCCACTTCCCCTCCAAGTTTAGACATGACAGTTTTGCTGTTTTCTTCTAATCCAGGTTGAACATCCATAATCTGAAAATTTTAAATCCAAAATGCTCCAAAATTTGAAACTTTTGGAATGCTGATGGGACATCGAAAATAGGAACTCCCACACCTGACCTCGTGGGTGGGGTCATACTCCAAAAGCAAGTGTTCTAAAAATCCCTTGGAAAAGCTCCTTTGTGTGGTGTGTAGATGTATATGGGGCACAGGTAGATTTCTCTGGGTGCCCTCATCAAGACCTCATTATGTGCATAGTAACATCCTCAAATCTGAAAAAGGCCACAACCTGAAACCCACCCGGCCCCAAGTGTTTGGAGGAAGGATGCTCAGCCAGTGGTTGCTGGCCATTCAGTTGGCCAGGGACCTTTTGTGCCCCTCCAGTCTCCCCACAGAGTCCCTGTGTGCCCCCTGCAGTCCCAGGGGACAGGACACCTCTCGGTTCAGCACTGGTGAAGGGCTGGGTCCCAATGGGCTCTCAGTCTGGGCACTGGATTTTCTCTTTCCCAGGCTAAACCTTCGGGAGCTGGGCCCCTGGGCCTCCCACATGCGCTGGCTGGTTTGGATCATGGCCTCTGTTGGCACCGTCTATGTCTTCTTCTTCCATGAGCGGTAAGCTGGGGTCAGGGTCTCAGGTGGGCAAGGTGCTTCTTGATGCTCCAGCAGGGTCTCCTCTGGCAGGGCAGATGAGAACCCAGGGTAGAAACAGAAGTGTGCAGCTCTGCCTGGATTCTGCTGCTGAAGTGAGTGGAGATCAGGGGGTTAGGCAGCTCCACTCAATTGAGAGTGGCTGCTTAGCCCCTGTGGAGATCAACTAGTGATGTCTGCCAGGGGCTAAGCTTTTGTAGCATCCACATGCCTGCTACAGTGTGCTAGAAACATGTGGCAAATACTTAACATTTTAAAAATTATTACAGTAAGAGACACATTGCCATTAATTTTCCTCAAAATATGCTTTTATCCCATCCTTCTTGCCACTTTCTGGAGCAGTCTGGAAGTCCTCTTTCCTGAACATCTTTACAGGATATGATTAAAAAAAAAAAAAAACAACCCCATGGTGCATGCTGCTTTCCAGTGCCATCCAACAGGAAGTCAGGCTCATAAACATGATTGTGTGTCCTTGTCCACCTTATTAAAGAGGGAGGATTTTGAGGGGATGGATTTAAAAAGAAAATCTAGCCATGTTTTTCAGTCATACCTCCCATGCCCAATCTGTGTAATCCTTGTTCTAGTTCCAGTGTCTCATAATACAGGTGTGGAAACTGAGGCAGGGAGGGAAAGAGCCTTGCCCAAGGTCACATAAGTGCCAGCACCATTAGTATAGAAACACTTGGCTAGAGTCAGTGTTCCCATCGGGGTGGCCCCTTAACCTTGGCATCGGGGAACTGTGTGCTGTTTCCTCCCTGAGGGTCTTGTCTTCCTGCCAGGTACAAACTGGTAGAGCTCCTGTGCTATGTGGTGATGGGCTTTTTCCCCGCCCTGGTCATCCTCTCCATGGTGAGTCTGTCCCCACCTCTGTCTGGGCTTTCTGTCTGCCCAGAGGACACATGAATGTCCAAGCCCCATCTGTCTCTCAAGACTATCAAGTAGGAGGGCCGGGGATTTAGCTCAGTGGTGCTGCCACCTGCCTTGCTAGTGCAAGATCCCGAGTTCGAACCTCAGTACAAAAAAAAAAAAAAAAAAAAAAAGAAGACAATCATAAAAAAAAAAAAAAAAAAAAAGAAGAAGACTATCAAATTGGGTGTTTCTTTTGACAGCTGGGAAAACTGAGCCTCAGTGAGTCAGGGTGATTGAGCTACAGGGGAAGGAGAACATGGAAGTTCAGGCTTAGGGCCCCCAACCTCTCTCTCACCCCTTCTCTGCCTAACCCTGAGAGAATTCTCCAACCTCCAAGCTCCCGGGTTCCTGGCTGTGTAAGAACATCGCATGCAGTGATCAGAGTGCATCTGGGCCAGAGTGCAAAGATAACTCACAAAATTGGATCCGTCACTAGGATGTAGGGCTGGGGTCCTCCAAGGTCTAGAGAGCTTTGCTAGCCCGTGTGAAGCCATGGGATCCATATCTAGCTCAGCAAAAGCAAAGTTCAGGATTTCGGACCCTAAGGCTTATTCCTTGACGAACAATGCCTTATATCTTAGATTTGAATTGCAGCCCAGGACCAGAGGAGAAAGCGAGAGAATAGATGGGCCAGGGCTGTGGTCCCAGCACTTGCCTCACATACATGGGGACTTGGGTTCCATCCCCAGCCCTGGAAAGAAGAATTTAATGGCTTTGGAGGCCAAGCTGTTTTCTTACCACCCCCCTTCTATGCTTCCACATCCTAAACTACTCCTGGTGCCCTAGGAGGTGGAGGTGACATCCCCAGTTTATGCAGGAAGACACCAAGCTCTGTGAGGGAAAGGAGAGCCCAGTCTTGGGGTAGCTGGGTGGATCATGACCCCATCTCCCCTGCTGGGGTCCCTATAGCCTCAGTTGCTGTCTGTCACGTGGGCACAGGAACCTCAGCCCACTGTCATTGGGGTGTGTGTGTGTGTGTGTGTGTGTGTACGTGTGTGTGGTGTTGGGGGGACTTCTGCGTAGTAGGCAAGAGTTCTACCATTGAACTATGTCTGAAGCCTGACAGTTGTTATTGAAAAATATAGTCAGTGATACAGTTCTTTCAAAGTCATGATGGGATGATCTGCCTTTTCCTAAGTTCCCAAGTTTGTATAAACAGTCACCCATCTATAGTTTCTCTTTTTTAGGGTGGTACTAGGCATTGAACCCAGGGCCTTCACATCAAGCTACATCCTTAGCCCCTTTTTGAATTTTTATGTTTTGAGATAGGCTCTTGAAAGTCACTAAGTTGCCCAGGCTCGACTTGACTCTATGACACTCCTGCTTCAGCCTCCCAGAGTGCTGAGGTTACAGGCATGTTCCACCACAGCTGGCTTCTCCTGCTTCTTTTGTAGTTTGCTTTGTGGTTTTAAATTGTTTACTCCTGTTGCAGTTTTGTCTGTGTATGGTCACCCCTCTCCACGTGTTAAACCAGTTGTTTCATTGATTTATCATTAAAAAATTCTCCTGTCTTGTGTATAAGCATGGGCCTCATCACATGGCCTGTCTGTTTTTTGCTCTGCTGGGAATTGAACTCAGGACCTCACTGTGCTCAGTGAGTGCTGTGCTATGGAGCTGCAGCCCCTGCATGTCTGTTCCCTGCAAGGTGCAAGGCCCCTGATATTTACTACTCTTTTTTTTCCTGGTATGGGGAATTGAACTCGGGACCTTGCGCTTGCCAGGCAGGAGGCACAGCACCACTGAGTACATTCCTGGCCGCAACTCTTCCCTTTCCTTGTCTGTACTCTTGTCTGGCCCCATCCTTCTTCCTGTTCATTGCTGCCCCCTGGAATTTGTATTTATTTTCCCACACACAAATTATTATTACACACAAATACACATACAGTAAATGTATATTTAATTGTATATTCTGTCAAAGAAATCCTGTATAAAAATATCACCCTCTCACTTCCTTCCCAATATGATGCCTCAGCTACAACCATTAATTGTTTCTTTTTTCCATTTAAAACTTCTATTTAGTTAGGTTTTTTTTAAGTTTGAGGGTACGAAGGATGGAACCCATACATACTAGGAGATTGCTCTGCCACTGAGCCATAACCCAGTCCTTCATTTAAAAAATATAGATAGTAGCCAGATGTGGTGGTGCGTGCCTGTAATTTCAGTACTCTGGGAAGTTGAGACCGGAAGATCTCAAGTTTGAGGATCCCTACCTGGGGCATTTAGGGATTTAGTGAGACCCTGTCTCAAAATTAAAAGTAAAAAAGGGCTGGGATGTAGCTCAGTACAAAACTCTTGGATTCAATCCTCAGTAAATATAAATACATAGGTACAATTTAAATGCACATATATGGGGATATGCAGACATACACTGACTGTTTTATTTTTATTTCATAAAAATGAAGTCATTTCACAAGCCATTCTGCAGTATGCATTTCTCTTTGCCCTGTTGTGGTCCTTTTTTTCCCATAAGGCTGTTGTAAAGGTGCCACTGGGCCACTCAGGTCAGGCACAGAAGGGGGATCTGGTCCAGAGTGCATGCTGGGGCTCCTGATGTTGCTATTATCATGGTTTTAATGTCCAGTTGGGGCTCATGAAGATGGGGGAACACAATGATAAAGCACATTTTGTTAGAAACATGGTACATTTGAGAAATAATATGGAGATACTTGAAGGCTTCGCAGTGTTGAGACTCCCCATGGAGACTCTGGGCTGGCTCGCCACCTCTCTGTCTTTTAGTTCAGGTGGTGGTAGACTAGCTGACTGCTCCTCTGACTTGTGCCCCATCCTTGTCCTTACTGACAGCCCAACACCGAAGGCATCTGGGAGCTGATGACCGGAGGGGTCTTCTACTGCTTGGGTATGGTGTTCTTCAAGAGTGATGGCAGGATCCCCTTTGCTCATGCCATCTGGCATCTCTTTGTGGCTTTTGGTGCTGGTACCCACTACTATGCCATCTGGAGATATCTCTACCTGCCCAGCACCCTGCAGACCAAGGTGTCCAAATGAAATGGCCCAGAATCCACAGGTCATTTGGTCTTTTAGAGCAAAGCATCATGGGAAGCAATTTGAAAACTGTATTCCAGAGCGTGGTGCTGAGTCCTGTCTGCCTTCCCTGGGTAGAGTTTTTGATGTGTCTCAGGTTCTTTCTGGTGATAGACCATCCCTTGAGTGCCCAGTGAGCAGGAAAGATTTAGTCATTTCCACAGAGGAGAAATTAACCCTCTAATGTGTTTCTACTTTAGAAAAGTGTTCTCTAATACAACCAATGTTAATACCTTCAGAAAAGGGCATATTGGGGAATGATAGGTCAAGAGATCCTTTTTTAAGGACACGAGGAATCTGGTGGTTTTTGTACAAACCCCTGGCATCCAGGGCCTCTCTCTCAACTGCCAAAGTCTTGACCAGGGAATTGTCCTCAGTTCAGGGAAAGATATCCAGTTTGCAGATGACCAGGGGAGACTGAGCCAATCAGGTACAGCCTGTGTGTGGTGTCAGATTCTTTTCAACAGTGTACCCTGGAAAGGCTCCCAATGGAACCTTTTGGCCTCTCCTGCCTGTTGTGTCCCAAAATGGCATCATGGTAGGAGTGGTTAAAAGTCACCATGACTGGGGACACACTTGTCTTCCAACACCGATGCCTTCTGCTCCCCCTCCATTTTTCCTCCTTTTTGGGGAGCTCCTGCAGTGCAGATTTTGGAGGCAGTTGAGGCACATAAAGGCACGCACCCTGATGCTCTACTCCACCATAGCTGCTTCTCAGCACATAGAAGAAGCAGGCAGCTGGGCTTCCTGATGCTGTGGCTCGGCCATCTCTTCTCCTGGAAACTTCAGAGAAATGATGAGAGCCCTTCACCCATCAGTGGAGGAAGTGGACCCTGGCAAGTTGCCCACTTGCTTCCTGTTTAGGGTTCGTGAGGTCAAAACTTGCTTAGCGCCAACAGCAGCTCTCAGAGGCCACTCCAAAGGGCCCTGGGGACACAGTCTCAGCCTTGCCTATGTGGAGACCTTGGCACAGTGACCTGATCCTCTGATCTCTGCAGTGCATGGCTGCCAGG